GATGAAATTATTTAAATAATATATTTTATTTAACCCAATATATCCAACCTATTGTCATATCAACATGCACTCAATATAAAATTATTAATGAGACACTCTACATTTTTTTGTACTGTCTTGAAAATCTAATGTGGATTTTTAACATTTATCACGTATTTCAGTTTGGATTAGCCACATTTCAAGTAGTCAGTAGCCGCATGCAGCTAGTGGTTACTGCATTGGACAGTACAGTTTTGTACAGTATTTTATTAAAGATGCGTAACAATAATAGCAAAATTTCGACTGGCAAGCATTTTAGAAGGCTCATCTTATCTAACCCTCCTAATTACCCTCATCTATAGATGAGGAAACATAGGCCTACGTAGAAATGGTTAGTGACTCATCCTTGACCACACTGCTAGTACGTGGCACAGTTGGATCTTGAATTCCGGTAATAGGAAGATTCCACACCCTGCCATGGATTAATTGGCTGTCTTGAGCAAGTCACTTTAGTTTCCTCTTTTACAAAATAGGAAGAGGGGTGGAGTGGATCATCCAGAATGGACACTGCATGCCTTCATCTTCCTTTTTATTTTGAAGCATCTGGCAAGCCTGGATCTCCTGTTCCACCCATGAGGACTTCAGATTTACACTGATCCTCCTCTGATTTGAACAGAGTGCTGTTCTTAACCTGGACTTTTCTGGTTGGGGCTGCTCTGACCATAAACCTATAAACCTTGCAGCAGGATGGAGAGCCCCTCCCATGCCCAAGAGCGGTGCTGCATGTTCGTTCGAGTTTCTTCTATTTTCAGCATATTGTCCAGCTGCAGTTTCTTTCTTTCTTTTTTTTTTTTTGCGGTACACGGGCCTCTCACTGTTGTGGCCTCTCCCGTTGTGGAGCACAGGCTCCGGACGCGCAGGCTCAGCGGCCATGGCTCACGGGCCCAGCCGCTCCGCAGCATGTGGGATCTTCCCGGACCGGGGCACGAACCCGCGTCCCCTGCATCGGCAGGCAGACTCTCGACCACTGTGCCACCAGGGAAGCCCAGCTGCAGTTTCTTGATGCTTTTTTGAAAGAAAAGAAACTTCTTGCCTGGACACTTGGTTTTAATTTTCTGTCTTCTTTGTTCTTAGGTATGTTGTAGAAAGCTCCCCTCTCCCAAGGAAATTCTACTATATATTTCCATAATTTTCCTTCTCTCCCTCTCCCAGAAATGCAGAGAAAATAACTGTCAACATTTTTTTGCATATATAAATTCTAACAGCCCGTACATGTCAACTAATCTTTTATCCAGGAAGGAAAAGCTTATTTCAAGTGATTGAAAGTTGAAACACTTTGGTTTTCATTCTTGTTGTGTAATGGAATCACTGTGTGGACATGCTACCTTATGATTAGATCATCAATTTCATTCCTCAAATCCATTAACTCTAATAAGTTCCTACTGTGTGCAAGGGCAAAGCCCCTGTTTTCTAGGAATGGATCTTCCACCAGGAAGGGTAAGGCAAATGTTCAACCAACCACAGCACAAGGCAGACCAGATGCCTTAAGAGGGGTGCACAGTACTAAGACAGTTCAAATATTTGGTTTGTGGTAAACCGGGGTGATTGTACAGAGGAGTTGCCTTTTAGAATGGACCTCTAAAGAAAGGTAGGGATTCAATTAACAGAGAAGGCAGAAAAGGCATTTCAGAAGAGGCAGAGGCAACTGTGCCTGTATCCTGCACTACAAGGAGGAAGAGTAGAGAGCAGCACGTGGCCTGGTCTGAGGATTACACATGGATTGCAGGAATTATGTAAGGATGTCAGGCCGTTTAGCAAACTCCTGGCGCCAGTGTCCCGCTCCTAACCCTCCACCCATTGGAGACAGCATTCATCAATCACAGCCCACACCTTTCCAGACAGCCTCAGGAGTTCCTTCATGAGATGAGATCAATTTGCCATCCCTGGTGCAGGAGTGCAGGGATAAGTGAGGTAGAGCCTTGAATACCTTGTTGACTAGTTAGTAGTTAATTGGATAGGCAATAGGGAGCCATTAAAGTCTTGTAAGCAGGGGAGTGACATGGTGGGAAATGAGAACTGTAGTTCAGGATAATGAACTTGGCAGTGCTTTCTGGGATGGATTAGCATGGTTATAAGACCAAAGGCCAGTTATTTGGAAGGTTATGGTTTAGACGAGCAATAATGTCTGGAATTGGAGTGTTAGCTGCAGAAAGGAGGGGCAGATGTCACAGAGGTAGAATTGAAAGCAACTGGCGAGTCTGGCTGGCTGTGGAGAGCGAGGTGCAGGAGTGAGAGAGGGGAGTCAAAGCCAACTCTGAGCTTCCCAGTAATGACCTTGGAATAAGAAAAAACTGGAGTCACCATCAAGAGGGGAGCCTGTGATTGAAGAGGAGGTAGGGGAGTTCTGGTGAGTTTGGGGAGGGCAAGAGGAGTCTACAGAAAGTGGTTTTTAGGCTTGTGTCTTCTACAAAGCATAGGTTTTTCTAAGCCATTGTCTGTCTCAGGACTCAGTACTGCAAAGTAAAATAACCATTTTTAAGCAAACACTATTGCCTTTCACAATGAACAGAGTCTAAGGAAGGCTCCCATCTTTCCAAATATTTGGAAAATTGGAAAGCCTTATAAGTAGTAATCAGGGAAAGGACATGAGGGAAGGAAAGAAATATAAACTTAATCACTGTGCTTCTCAGGTTTCAAACGCTTCCCCAATCGAGGTAATTTACACTTTAGTAACAATGATTGACAGTCAAGGAATGTATCTAACTCACTTTTATTTTTCCCTTAGGAAAAGCACTTGAGTTCCCAGTTGTTTTAAATTGCAGAAGCAGTAATTGTTTTAGGAAGGCAAGAGAAATGGCTTTTTGGTACCCTGAAGGGAATATGGAGTCTATCTTAACTAAGGTCACTGGGGCCATATTCAGGATGGTCTTTCCTGGGTAAGCAAATACCAGTTTAGTTGAAGGAAAACAGCAAAAGAACCCATGAAGGCCCAGGGGAACAGATTTCACCCAAAATATTAATAAGTTGCTATTGGTGCCTAAAATGAGCCAGAGATATTTTTTAAGCCGCTTGCATCCCAAATAGAATCATTGGTGAAATTTTATATGAAAAGTGTCCTTTCTCCCAAATATTCTAAAATAAATATGGAGCAGTGGATGTATTTTGACATACTTGCTGCCCCAGAGGAACTTGTTTATTAAACCGTGCATTTTGATATATTTGTTTACTTAGAAAAGTCAAGTGTGACAAGCTAGGTCAATTGCATCAAGAACGTTATTAACAGGCTGACCCATTGTAAATGGCGTGAAGGCTGCTCTGGAAATCTGTGCTTTGATGTATGGGGAAACCGACACATCTAATTTGGGAGGGAGGAGACAATCATGGCATTGTTTGTAGGCGCCAACAGACAGGCAAAAGCCAGGGATCCTTGCAGAGACTGGATTAAGGTATCAGAACTGTTCACATCTCATTTGCATCACTCCGAAGAGTGGACCACAGGTTTTGCTGATTAACACACAGACCATGGCAAATAGCATTGTGTATTTGAAACCAGACCAAGATCAGTAACAGTAACACAAACCATGTGTGAAGTTTGGCATATGGAGGTTCCTCTTAAGCTATTATCTAACTAGGTTTTTTTCCTCTTATTTTTCAAAAGCATTTTTCCAAACCAGGAAGTTAGCAAAAGCAAAATGTTCCCCAATTCCCTCCCCACCCCCTAAATACTCATATTTATGCCACCTTCTGGTATATAACAATATTTTTTGTTGTCAAAATTTGCAAGTCTTCTGAAAGGAAGGTGGGCGTGTGTTAAAAATGTACTGATTTCATCAGTGTCTCGGCAGGCAAGAGGAAATGGTGGACTGAGTATTGAGGCAGGGAAGTCAGGCAACTACCACCTGAATATTTTCCACTCATCCAATTTGTATTTTTCCTTCATAGTGGAGTTCCAGATCAAAGTAACACTGATGCAATTCTTCACTACCCTTGGGTTTCATTAAGCACCTGATGGGCGTGTTTCAGTGGAAGGGGGGACTGCGGAAGGATGCCTACAATTATGTAACTTATTAAAAGCTGTTAATTACCTGAATTTTATCATCCAGATGTTATTAACGCCTCTCCAGTATATCTTTTATGGATGAGACTACATTTTATAGCAATAGTAGCAGTGGGAATTGACAATTAGCAGCCATGCATTAACTAGATGCAATGTGGCATATTTCATCCAGTTTAGATAGTCCTCGACCAATCAAGCCAAAGTTTTCTTTAGTAGAAATTGCCCTGCCAAGTGGTTTCTGGATCCTTCTCGGAGGAAACAGCAAAGGAGCTGAAAGCGACCGCTTTCAACCATACCAAAAATTGGCTATCCATGGCAATTCTAGACTCACAAATTGTGTTTTAGACACATATATCAAACCAACACTGGAAACCCACTGGACGTCCCATCGCAAAGTAAGAAGTGCCACGTCCTCCGTCCTCCCATCCTCTGCCTTCCTTGGGGTGTCAGCCCAGGTCTAATTCCTTTTTAGTTTCTCCTCAGTCCTGGTCTGGGCTGGCAGGGAGCTACCTGCGATTCCCCAACGTGGATAACCGGATTTGTTTCTTCCCAGGCTGGCTGCGGATGGGGACAAGTTCTGCTCCCGAGAGAGTCTCAGAAGTAGGTACAGAATCATTGTCGCCAATCTTAATTTCTGTCCCTGGGCTAGGGGGGCACGTGAGGCTCTCCCCTCCTCCTCCACTCTTTTCCCCACCTCCCAAAATTGGCAGCCAGTCCGTGGCTCTCGGTCTGGGGTCTGGAGGGTGGGGAATGTGGGTGTGGGGACCGGCTGGAGAAGCTCTCGCTAGCGCTGCCTGTGGCCAGACCCGCCTCCCATCCCCTCTCCGGCGCACACACACGTCCACCCAGACACACTTCGCGCGCTCCCTTGCGCTCTCGCTCGCCCGCCCGCCCGCCGCCGCCTGCTCTCTCCTTCTTGCTCTTCCCGGTCTCCTTCTCCGTTTTTTTTTTTTTTTTTTTTTTTTTTTTTTTTTTTTTTTGGTACCATAGAGTTGCTCCGAAAACAGAAGATAGAGGGAGTCTCGGAGCTCGCCATCTCCAGCGATCTCTACATTGGGAAAAAACATGGAGTCAGCTCCGGCAGCCCCCGACCCCGCCGCCAGCGAGCCGGGCAGCAGTGGCGCGGACGCGGCCGCCGGCTCCAGGGAGACCCCGCTGAACCAGGAATCCGCCCGCAAGAGCGAGCCGCCCGCCCCGGTGCGCAGACAGAGCTATTCCAGCACCAGCAGAGGTAGGAGGCTGCGAGAGGGGCTGAGGAGGGGGCGGCGGGAGCCCCGGCGCGGAGCTGGGGGCGGCCGGGAGCGGGCGCCCGGGGCGCGGGGTCGGGGGCCGCGCGCGAGCCTGCGCCGGCGCCCAGAGCTCGGAGCACCCCCTTCCCCTCCCCCCTCCGCCCCCCAGAAATGTTGCAAACTTTTGCAGCCCGTTCTCGGGTTGCGGGAGGAGAGGGGGGCGGGGGACGCGGCAGGAGGTTTGACAGCCGGCGGGTTCACCCCCTGGCTTTGATTTTTCTGCAAAGAGGGGAGGAAAGCCGCGTTGCCGAAATTAAATACGCTCCCCAAAATACGGAGAACCGGAGAGTGGGGGCCCGGGAAAGAAACTTTTAAAGCGGCAGTGTCCTTTAAAAAGGAAAGGAAGGGGGAAAAAAATTCTGTTTATGACCACCCTCTTCCCCCTTTACCTTTTCTCCTCTCGACAGTCTCGGCCCCGGCAGCCCGAGACGGGGTGGGTTTTCGGCTCCCCGCAGAGCTGAGGGGGGCGTTAGGAGTGAGTGACCAGGGCAGCCCCGGGGATGGAGAGGGGGCGCTCCTGGACTTGGGGGGCGACGTGGGCACCTTCTCTGGAGCACGGCGGTGGGTTTGGCATTTGGAGATTGAGCTGGAGGAAGCAGGGTGCGGGCGCGCGAGTTGCTCGCCAAGTTGTCTGGCGGGCGCGGCGAGGGGAGATGCGCAAGTTTGCAGACCCAGGGTTCGCAGCCGGACGCCCAGCCTGCCGGGGGGCGTGTGCGCGTCAACTCGCCCGGGGCGGCGGTCCTGTGGGGGCGCTCCACGCGCATTCGGAGTGAGCGTCTGCAAAAGCAAACAAGCAGAAAAAGAAAGATCGCCAAGGCACCCAAACTTATTTCTGACCTGGGAAATCCTTCCCTCTCCAAGCGTTTCTGCAAGAACCTGGGAATGGTCAGTGCGAGTTGAATGCTGGTTGGATAGTGCGATCGATGTTCCCCGCTCCCCGGGCGATATTTACACACTTCATTTTGTAGAATGTGTGTGCGTGTGTATGTGTTTGTTTGGGGGGGGGCTCCATTGCCTCCTCCTTGCTTTTTTTATAGTTAAAGTGGAGTGTTGGGGAACGCTCACCCTCTTCCTTCTTTCTTAAAGGTATCGGCACCTGATGTGGGGTTTTTCTTGGGGATGGGGGATTATTTATTTGAATGCGCCTGGAGTTTGCAAACAACAGGAGGAAGCTACGGCTTTAATTACTGTTGTTAATAATGTATAAATCATCCCTGTCACTCTGGAGGAAGCAGGCTCGCGCGAGCCGCCCAGGGCTGGGGGGCAGAGAGGATCTCCAGCCCTGGCTTGGGCACTGGCCCAGCGGGCCCCCTCCTCTTGCCACTCGGCTTCTGGCGGCGATTGGAGAGGGCGGGAGAGGCGAGTGTGGGCCCCCGGGAGCCGCTCCCTTCTTCTCGATGTTAGAGTTGGAGGTAGGAATATGGCTGATCATGTGCTAGCTGTTTTACAGTATTCCCCCCCCCTACACACACACCTTAGCCACACCCCCTGTCCAGGCGCTTTCCCATTCACGGAATTCGAGTACAGTAAAAGCCATCAGGATGACACACGCGAAAAACATTTAATTAAAGACGATTTCGAAAGAGTGAACACATTGAACTGCGGTTTGAGCAGGAGGGAGGGGGGCAGCGAGGGTCGGGAGTACAGAGAGGGGGATCGGGGCTGGGGGCCGGGACCTGCAGCTAGCTCGGGGAGTTTGTGTGTGGCGAGCTTTTGGCTGCACAGAGTATATTTAGACCTGAGACGGTGGATTTGGAATGCAAGCGGGTTATGTAACAGGGTTAATCAGAAACACTGGAGAAAATCCCCTTCATGTGTTTCTGAGGCTTTTTTTTTTTTTGGAAGGGGGGGGGACATAGTATGTAGGAAGCCACAGTAATTTCTGGTTTGTGCTGCCACCCCCCTCCTTTCTTAGGCATCCCCCTCCCGTGTGTTATTAGCATCTTCAGGTGTCATTCTTGCCAGAAGGTGTTCTTGCAAGAGATCGGGGTGGCAGGCTGCAGAACCCACTAGCAAATCCGTAACTGGCTGTTCTTGCAAATTATATAACGATGGGGCTTTCAGTACCACCAGCCCTCTAGGCTCAGCGACAAGGGGAGAGGGACAACGTAGGGGCAGGATGCATCTTGTACAGCTGACCTGCTGACCCACATCCCCTTGCCCCCTAGAGGGCCACCCCCCACTCTCTCTTCTTTGAACCAACGTCTTGTCCATCCCTCCAGAGATTTAATGGGGGGAGGGAGAGGAGGTAAGGCCCAAACACTCAACTCACATCCTGCACGCAGGCACTAGGTTATATAACAGTCTGAATGGAAAAAGGAAGGTCAGAGATGGAGGCATCCTTTAGCTAACACAGCAGTAGTAATAGCTTCCAGAAATTATGTGCATTTGCAGACTTTAACCTCAGATGTACTGTCTGCTCCTCAGGGGTACCAATCTTTGAGAGTGAGAGCTAGGGAGAAAAAGAGAGAATGTGTAAGTATGCTTGGTAGATGAGAGTGATTTGAAAATGGGAAATGTTTGGGTTTTCAGATGATGTAATGGAGTTGGCAGAATATGCGAGTCGGCTCCCAGAGTGTAAGCAGCAAGAAAATTGGAGCTGGCATCCAGTATTAATGTTGCATAAATTACAATATCGGAAAGAAATTAACCTACACACTAGGTGATTATGCCTTTTTAATACTTAAAACATAAAGGCACACAACTCAAAAGGAAAAACAAACATCATCACCTTAAAATTAGCATTTTCAACCTCAAGGAGGGTTGAGTGGAGTCCTTGGCATTGGGTGAAGTGCGATGCTTTCTGATTCGGAAGATGCTTTCCGGAGAGGTAGCTGGGTTAGCTTCCAGGCAGCCAGTGTCTGCAGTCCACAGAGATTGTGGTCAGGATTCTTGTGACATTGAGGTGACCTCATGAGACATTACCTAGGTAGACTTGAAGCTGTTGCTGGATTCTGAACACCTGGGAATCTACCGGTGTGCCTGAGCTTCCAAAATCAGATGTGTGACTTTATAATCTGAAAGACGGCCTTCCCTTCTTCTGAAAACTGGGCAGGGAATGTTAGCAGTTTTAGTGGAACTGTTTCCGTTTTCTGGGTGCTATTAATGATGGCTGGTGTCGTTCAGTTCCATCTTTTCAGCCCAATGAAAGGGAAGAAAGAAAGGCAAGAGGCAACATGGGAAGTAAGAATGAAGCGGAAAAACTACAGCGAATCTTTAATTTAACAAGGCTTTCAGGGACTTCAGGGAGCCATGAGCATTGTGACATAACTGTTGTTAAAAACCCTCTTTCAAGTAAGTCAGAAAGAGAAAAACAAATGTCGTATATTAATGCGTATATGTGGACTCTAGAAAAATGGTACAGATGAACCAGTTTGCAAGGCGGAAATAGAGACACAGATGTAGAGAACAAACGTATGGACACCAAGGGGGAAAAGGAGGGGGTGATGGGAGGAACTGGGAGATTGGGATTGACATGTATACACTAATATGTATAAAATAGATAACTAATAAGAACCTGCTGTATAGAAAATAAATAAAATAAAATTTAAAAATTCAACCCCCCCACCCCCAAAAAAACCCTCTTTCAGAATCTCGTTATTATGTGCACACCAGAGCTTACGTATTCTACCTCCCTAAAGTTTACCTCACGGAGCTGTGTGCCACGCAGTTGGTCTGGAACGCCAGTGCTGAAGGTGGAAGGCTTCTAGGGCAGGCTGACCTAAGGGAAAAATCGAAGCCAAAAGATGGGATTAACACTGAAAAGCTCAGCTGGGTTGAGATCGAACCCCCTGGAAGCTCAGCTTAGATTGACTTAAAATCAGTTAAGAAGGCCTGTAGTTTATATGGAGGCTTGAGGACTTCTAGACCCACAGAAGTCTTTTGCCTTTCAAAGTGCTTTGCCACCATAATTCCCCTCCTCAGTCTTGGCTGATTCACTTTCTGGTCTGCTTTCTTGCCTGGCAATTTCGAGCACTTTCTAGAGATTGATGCTTGAATCAGCTTTTCTTATGTGGACCTGGCTCTCCCCAGGGAACAAATGATGCCCCATAGTTTGAAGGAGCTACTGGCTGGGATAAAATTCTTTGCCAGAGGGATGGAATAATTATTTTTTAAACTAAGGGGCTTTCATTTTCCAGTAAATTACTCATAAAAACATTTATAATTGTACCCTTTAAAAATGTAATAGAATAATTTTAGAAAATGCATTTGATGATGATTATGAGAACCTTTTCTGTTGCTTCCTCCTTCTTTCTTAAAAAGAATTGAATTGTATTAATCCAGAAGTCAAATCCTGAGTGGCTAAAAACATTTACAGCAGACTCTTTTTTTATGTTAGTCACCTGCTGGAATTTTCCAAAACCTACGGTGTTAAGAGGAGCCCTTGGCTTTAGGAAACGTCTCTGTTTCCGAAACTGAAATATGGAGCCTGCATGGACCAGACCCCTCACCAGGAGACCTTAAGCTTGTGTTTTCCAGGTAGCAGAGGTGGGGGTGGGGTACAAGCGTGAACTGCTGGTTCCACATCAGACTCCTAAGTGGGATGTAGGGAGGTGTAGGAATGTTAATCGCAATAGCTGTTGCCTCCAGATGCAAATGTTCTGGGGTCTTTGGTGACAGCTGAATCACTTTTGAAAGCAAACTGATCCCTGTCCAAAGCTAACCTTTGGAATGTGAGTGAGACAAGCCCAGGGGTTCTTCTCCATGGGCCATACTCTTGTCAGTTCTGAGTTAAGATTCACATTTTTCTCCCGATTCTCCCATTCTTGCCTTTAGGAAGTTGTGATGTGATGTTGGAAGGACAGACTGAGTTGGGTGTCACTTCGAATTCCGTTGGTGTGGTGTGGTCCCTAACAGCACGTGCCACTTTTTCTGAGGGTGTCCCCCCATCCCGCCGCCCATCTTCCTGGTCTCCGTGATGAATGGTGCTCCTATGCTTATC